GATTGATATATTTGTTCAATACATAATTACATTTCAGTGGGAAGAGATAGATGATTAAAAAATAAGAAAGTAATGTGTACACATAATATTAGATACCAGTAAAGGAGAGGGAGAGGGAGGGGGTGGAAGGAAAGGGAAGAAGAAAAGAGGAGAGGAGAGGAGAGGAGAGGAGAGGAGAGGAGAGGAGAGGAGAAGATGGTATGTCAAGCATATGGGGCTAGGGAATGTTAATCTGAAGTAGGGTCATCTGTGAAGGTGTATGTGATAATGGTGACATTTACTCAGGGACTGATAAATGTGAGCTAGAGCCATCTGGGATGAGCTGTTCAGAAGGATGGAATAGCGGATACCAGGACCCCGAGCCAGGTGAATTCTTATCATGGTTTAGGGAAATGATCAGGAGTCATCTGAAATGCATATTAAACATCTAAATGGAGGCATTGTTGACAGATGGGTGCACATCTCTGGATTCAGAAAGAAGCCAATGTGTTGGGGTTGAGTGAGCCAGGCAGAGACAGTTGGGAGAGCAAGACAGAGAGGAGCAGAGGAGCTCCTTACGTAGGGATTTTCAGGTCATTACATTTCAGGCCTGTGCATTTTGCTCTGAGTGGAATGGGAAGTCACGAGGGACTTTTCAGCCAAGAAGTGACTTACATAGACCCAAGTTTAAATAAGACTGTTTGGGCTGTTATGTTGAAATTGGACTTTAAGGAGTCAGGAAGGAAACAGGGAGACGAAATGGGAGCTAATAGTGGCAAAGACTAGGAAGAGTAGGATGAAGATGCTGAGAAGAAGGCAGATTATGTATGTTGTATAAAGGTACTGTCAAGAGGATTTCTTGGTCAATTAGATGTGTGATATAGGGAAAAAAGTAACATCAAAGGTGATGTCAAGGTTTTTTAATATATGTGGAATCAGATTAATTCACATGTTCCTGGGACGGCAAAAGCCTTAGGGAGAATAAGAATTTAGGGAAGGACTAGGAGTTTATTTAGGGAATTTTAAGTTTCAGATGTCTGATGTTTAGTTATTAATGGCAATTGGATAAAAATATCTGGAGTTTGGGGAGAGATCAAGGGAGAGAAAATAGATTTGGGAGCTAGCATGTAGTTCTGGTAACAAATTAGCCTCCCAGAGTTTCATGTTTGTTGGCGGAAGATTTAAGGCTCTTAGTTCACAAAGGGCTTTATTATAGCAATAGCAGTAGTCAGAGCATCTGCATTTCCCCGCCCCAGCTCTCAGTTTTTCAAGGCAGTGTGAAAAGCACTGGGAGAGGCCTCTACACACAGTGGGCTGCAGTACAGGAAAGGAACACTAGGCTTAGCAAGACTGCCTCTTTTGTAATGGATAAGAATCATGCCTACCTTTTGCTCAGAGGAGTCCATTATGGCCATCATCCCAAACTGTACAAATATCCTCTGAAAAAAGATAGCCCAGAATAAAGCTAGTCAGTGTCTGTGCTCACCAGCCATGAAGAAATGAGCAGGGTCCATGTAGAATTGTCTCCGTCATGGTGTCTACCTCCTAAGGAGCACTGTGGTAACTCGGAGGGGCATTTTCGGTTTACAATGATTGGGGATGTTACTGTCATTTCATGGGTCAGGGCCAGGGATATTAGATATTCTGAAGTGTAGGAGATGGTATCAAGCAAAAAGAATGGCCTGTGTCCCACACAGACATTCACTTAAGTGAAAACCAAAACTGACTATAATTATTTAAGCCTAGACCTTATCCTACCTTTAGTATGCCTTACTATGCACTTTAATATTAAATCTTTTTTAAACATTAAATCATTTTGAACCAATAATCTTTGTATGGTTCAGAGTTACATCAAAAGTTAGTCACCACTTGGAGGGTAGGGGCATATTACTAGCAGAAATACCAGTTGTTTGAATCATCACCCTTGTATAAGATTTCTTTTGTGGCTGACACAATTACAATGTTTCATGTGTGTGTGTGTGTGTGTGTGTGTGTGTGTGTGTGTGTGTGTATGCATATGTATCTTAGTTTTATTTCTTTTCTTTTTGGTTTTTTGAGATAGGGTCTCACTACATAGTTAAGACTGAGCTGGGACTCACTATGTAGCCTAGCCCAGGCTGGTCTCAAACTCACAGTGCTTCAGCCTCCTGAGTGCTGGGATTACAGGAGTGAGCCACCACACCTGGCTCTTAGTTTTATTTCATAAGGTCAAACATGAAGAAAAATATTTTTATTATCTTACCTCCTTTCAATATAACTTTGTTAAAAGAAGTTGCAGTCAGATGCTCACATTAAATATCATTGAGGTAAATGAGGAGGACTGAAAATTGACTTTTGGATTTAGCAGCATGGAAATCATTATCTACCATGAAAAGAACAATTTCAGAGGAGAGGTGGGGTCAGGAGTCTCTTTGAAGTTAGTTCAAAAGAGCATGGGAGGACAGGAATTGAGACAGAAGTATAAACAACTCCTTTGTGGAGATATTCCATACAGGGAGCAGAGGCATAGGGTGGTGTGCTGAGCACCCAGTGCCAAGCATGTAGAAGTGGTTCAGTAAAGGTGGCCAGGGAGAGGCTTGATGACCCTAAGGGAGGAGCTCAGTAACTGTTGGCTTACTGAAAAAGTGCTGATAAGTTTGTATGTGTAGGGACTAGTCAGGAAAACCTCTTAGAATTTTTTCTTTTGAATTTAAAAAGAAATGATAGTTTTAGAAGAACCCAGAGGTAAGAGGGTATTTCAAGCACTAGCCAGGCTGAAAGATTGATGTGGAAGAATTTGTGAGGGATGGGCAACCTCTTGCTAAGTTGGAAGGAGAAGAAGAGGGTTGGGAAAACCATAAGGCTTGAATAGAGAGACCTGGAGAGACAGTGTACAGAAGACCTTGGCATTTATGTCGAGGCTGATGTCAATGGGGGCTGGGGGTCTTGAGGAGCCGGGGGTATTGAGCAGGAATATAACATCTGTTACACTTTTCAGATTCAGTGCTGTGCTTATTTTCTAAGTGTCGAAGTTGGATAACCAGGTTATAGCTCATACTCTAGACAATCAGGTGAAAATCACCCATTGTCATGCTAACTCCAACCTCCAATCCTGGGAATAAAATTCCACAGATAAAGATTAATGAGAAATAGAAACTTTCTTTGGACATTTACTTGTGGAATGGGACTGGGTCCTCCTGAATGAGTGCACTTGGGGTTGTCATTTGAATACACTTCTGCAGAAAACCAGCACTGTACTCTCATCTGGCTATGCTCTGGTTTACCAGGCAAGAGATGTACAACTTGATGACCCCTTTTTCCTTTTGCATAGACCACAGGGAGAAAACAGTGACCTAACTTGATGTTTTAGAGCCAGAGCAACTCATCTTGCCACACAAAGTACCAAGAGTCTTGCAGGCATGGTTGGCGAAGTCCATTTACTTGGGACTGAGAGAGCCCAGGCTTTGCTTCAATTGGACTTGAATTTGAATTCCAATTTTCCTTTTTTTTCTTTTTATTGAGTTTATTGGTACAATCTAGGACTATAATACAGTTACATTCATTACTGGGATCTTGTGCCTTCACAAGACAGGTCTTAGTTCTCATTTTTTCCCCTTGTTCCTGCCCTCCCTTCACCCCCTCCTCCCCTTCCCATTAACAAACTCTTTATTTCCATTTTTTCATTTTCTCATATTTTTCTTTTCCCTTATTTCCTTGCCTCTACCCTTCCCCCTTTCCCTATACCTTTAGCCATTTTCTTCCTATTTCACACTCTTAATTATCCCATTAGGATCATGTGTACTATTATAGTTTTTCCAATTTTCATCTTTTGCCTCTGTGGCCTTTGACAAGTCCCCAAATGTCAGTGACTTTATCAGTGGGAGTGATACTTATTTTATTTTGAGGATTAGCTATTTATAATGTTTGTTGCACAAGAATATTTATTAGTGGCATTAATTTTTGAGTGTCATCCAGGTCTGGCCAGTCAGTAAACGATGACACTGGTGAGAGCTGTGGTGAGAAGCAGCAAACGTGATCATTCTTCCTAGAGAAGCCCCTTTGGTCCTAGATAAGAGCCCACTTCTTGGTGATTCTATTTAGCTCATGTGGTCCAGGCTATCAGAACAGCTATAACAGGAGGTTACAGTATTTTCTAGATGGATTATGACTCAGCATTCTTTTTGATCCTGGGCTTTTTGATATAAAGAGGTTAAGCACATGTGTAGATAGAGGGAACAAGTGAGCAAAACATTTATACCCTGGTGTATCAGGCTCTATGAGCAACTCATAAATACAGCTTTTTATTAGATTAACAACTGCTTTTTTTTCCCCAAATAAACTTGTTTGGCTTGGAATGAAATATTTAAAGCATTAATTGTTACTAAGAGTGAAAATTTTGAAAGCTTTTCTGGGTAGCTGAGGTATGATGGGGCCATAGGCCTTGGCTTGGGTAATCTAGACTCCCATATCTGCTTCCATGTGCTATGGATTTGCTTTCTGCTCTCCACCCACCTTGTAGAAGTTTCAGTGCCAGCTACATGAAGCAGATGTGAGGTCCACCACAGCCCATTAGGTACTGGATCTGACACCTTCCAGGCAGTTAAAGTCTGAAGATAGGTAATGTGTGCCCAGAGGCCCATGCTATCTGCTGAGGCCTTACCTATGCAGCCTTGTTCTTCTCTTACACTAAATTACTGTTCCCCTTTCCCTGCCCTCCATCATCACTCCTGGCCAAAGTATCTGAATTCTGTCATCAAGTGGACTCAAGGCTGAGGTCTAGAATCATGAGCTTAAACTCCCATTCTACCATTCACTACCTACATGAACTTGGGCAAATTACTTATGCTTGTTAAATTCCAGTTCCCTAATTCTCAAATTTAGCATTATTATTAAATAGTGAAAAGAAAAACAAAACCAAGCACCTCACTGTCCACAGAGTCACTCTCAATATAATATCAGCAATGTAGTACAAAAAGATTTTTCTCTAGGGACATGTACACATATTACACTGGGTAATGGTAATAGTGCCCTCCACTTTAACTCCATGCTCCCTATTCATGCAGTTCAGGAACAGGGTCTGGGCTGAGGTGTGCATGGGGTAAATTCTCTCTATCTCCTCTTCCTGTGCACCAGAATTATGAACACAGCCTGTAGTAAACATCAGCTAATGACAATATTTTTTAGAAAATGATTTTATAAGCAACATCTTCTTCCATTTTCACAATACCCTCATTAGCTAAGAAGTGTTACTCTTTTAAAATAGATGGTGCCTTTGAGGTTCAGATCAGCTATACAACTTTTCCAAATTTATGAAAAATTAGGAATTCAGCTGGGTGGTCTAACTTAGAAAAGCCCATTTCACTTCATTATAATATTCTGCCAGTGTGAATGCTTAGAGAGAGGGGGAGGGTATGTCAGAGGAAGATGAAGTACACACAGAAAGGAAAAATGAAAGGTTTCCCAGATTCATATTTTTATGCATGGAATTCATGTTAAGCAGTAGAATGTTTTGAGAATAATGTACAGATACACTCCACTAGCCTTTAAAGATCATATACAGGAAACTCTGAAAGTAGAACAAAACCTAAAAGTTCATAACAGCTTGGGGTTAAGTATGGATAATCACAGTCCTCACCCTCCCTCTTATGCCCACCATACCTAGTGTTCCAAGATAACAGAACAGGATAAGTCCAGTGATCTATAAAAAATGAAGATAACTAAGCTCAAAATACTTTATAGCAGATGGCAGAGATGTCTTAATACATTTTAGTAACATTCATGTATAAAGTGGTTTAAAAACTGAAAAAAAAAAAACAATCTCCACACCTTATTTTCACTCCAGTTTTCTGAAAAGTTTGATGGCAGATAAACAAGTTTCATTGCCACTGAGAAGCAATCCACGTTTCTGAAAAGTATTGGATTAATGGGAAGGTCAGATCTTAACATCATGGTTCACTATCTGGTATAGTCACTCACCACTTGCTTTGAATTTTATGTTTCTTTGTATCAAAACACCTCCTGGAACTCTGAACTTGTGTGTGTGTGTGTGTGTGTGTGTGTGTGTGTGTGTGTGTGTGTGTGTGTGTGTGTGTGTCCCAGATATAGTAAAAGCACCTCTTTCATGACTTAGAAAAGAGACAGAAATTTGTCAGGAAGGAATGAAAAATACTACCCAGCTATGCTCCAACAGCGGCAAATAGGTCTTTCCTTCTCTGAAGCCTGGATTCTCCTATTCTCCCAGGAGGGTAAGCAACTCTTTTCATATCTAAAATGAGAGTGCTTCCTGGGAAGCAGTACTCAAACTATTGAAAGAGAGGAGTCAAATGGACTTTGGGGGCTTATGGAGTTAAAAAGTGTCTGGTAGGCCAACCCTGGAAGAAATTTCAGGAGTCAGGAAGAGTATGCGATTACAGGTTTGGCCCAGAGGAGATGCGTTCACTCATACTGGGCAGGACCTCAGAGGGGACAGCAAGCGCCTGATGGGATTGGGTGTGGGAGACAAGGCCTGAAACCCTGAGAGGGACACTGTGTCTACCGCTGCACAGAATACACATGGCTGCTCAAAGAGCCAATATCCTTCACAAGGTTCTGCTGGCTTGAGCAGGGACGGACTAGGCTGTGGGATCAGAGAAACATGGAAGGGAAAATGGAAATGGGGGTTGACTGGTGGGGGGAGGGGAGGTGGAGGTTCATCTCTATAGCAACAGTAACCATTCAACAGATTTTGTGGGACTGCAATACCTATTAGCTATGGGGTTCTTAGAGGAAGCAAGGTGATGGGTCATAGCAGATGAGAAAAGGTCCACTTCCTATCTGGGACCTAAAGATGGTTCTATTTTCATTTCAGAAGTAAGTGACATTACTTCCCTTCAAGCTCATGAGTTGATTCTGTGGCAAAGTGTGTGGGACTTTTATGATTTTAGAGAACTAAAACAAAATTCCTGCATTAAGGCTGTATGGAAGTTTGGAAGTATGGCCCTTTAGGTATGAGGAGACTAGAAAAAGTCCTCCAGTCACCTCAGCAAAGAGCAAGGAAGTTGCTCTCTGCTTAGAGCTCAGGGTAGAAAATGAGGCAAGCTTCTGTGAGAATCTGAAACCTCTCCAAATTAACAGTGCAGGAACTAGGGTGTTAAAGTAAAATCTGACATTGAATTAGGGAAACTCTTAGCATACCTAGCAGAAGCAAAGGAAGCTTCCAAAGGAAAAATGAAACTCAGGTGAAGTAAACCTTAATCCAATTTTTAGCCTTTGCTTAAGCAAAGTTTACTAAGGCTGCTGTGACACAGTACACAAACTAAGGGGCTTTACTAACAGAAACTTATTGTTCATGGTTCTAGAGACTAAGATTCTGAGAACAAGTTGTCAGCTGGGTTGGCTCCTTTTGAAGAACATAGGCAGAATTTGTTCCATGTTTCTCTCCCCACTTCCAGTAGTTTTCTGGAAATCTTATGACAACTGAGGAAAAAGTCTGAGAGAATTTAAAGGCCTTGATTCTTTATGGTTGTTTAAGTACATTTTTGGAGAGCTAGTCCCCTCTCATGTGTTTCCATTAGCTGACCCAGCTTCTCGATGATCTCTGATAACCATTCAATTGTAGCTTCCCTCCAGATTCATAAAATGATGTCTGTGGTAGCTCACAATATAACCATATTGGAAAAGGACTCATTACAGATATAATTATCTAAGTTAAAAATGGAGAGGGTGGGTCACTCATCCAATATGACTGGTATTTTTATAAAAAGAAAATTTGGACACAAATTCAACAGAATCCAATGGTCATGCAAAAATGAAAGCAGATATCTGGGTGAGATATGTGAAAGATTTCCTAAATTTGTAAAGTCACATAGCTGATCTGAACCTCAAAGTCACCATCTATTTTAAAAGAATAATACTTCTTCTTAGCTAACGAGGGTATTGTGAAAATGGAAAAAGACGTTGCTTATAAAATCATTTTCTAAAAGTATTGTCATTAGCTGATGTTTACTGCAGGCTGTGTTCATAATTCTGGTGCACAGGAAGAGGAGATAGTGAGAACTTACCCCATGCACACCTTAGCCCAGACCCTGTTCCTGATCTGCATGAATAGGGAGCATGGAGTTAAAGTGGAGGGCACTATTACCATTACCCAGTGTAATATGTGTACATGTCCCTAGAAATCTTTTTGTACTACATTGCTGACATATTGAGAGTGACTCTGTGATGGACAGTGAGGTGTTTTTGTTTTTTTTTCACTATTTAATAATAATGCTAAATTTGAGAATTAGGCCATTGAAGTTTAGAAAGGGCAAGTAATTGTTCCATAAGTAATGTATCTAGTACCTACAATACTTGTGAAGATCAGACCAGAAGATGTACAAGCAAGCACCTTGTAAACTCTAATACACTATAACATTCATTTTTCATTTTAATTTTAGTTAATTAAAAATAATACTTCCCATTTATTCGGGGCCATGCTAACCCAACATATCTTATTCAATTCTCCACCATAACCCAATGTGGTAAATATCTTCATTTTGTAGATGAAAAGATTATATCTTAGGAGAATTAAGTCATCTGTCTGAAGCCACATGGCTAGAAAGTGGCAAAGGTAGAACTTCAGGAAAACTTGGTGTGTCGGGGTCTAAAGTTTGAGCCCTTACTTATTCTTAATATTTCCTATGTCTTATGCCTGTGGCTACATCCTGGGTAAAGTGAGGCTTATGAAACAAAGAAAAGGAGATACACTCTATCCTGAGGAGAAAAGTTCAGTCCAATGAGGAGAAGAGATGGAGACTCATCTAAAAAGCAAATAAGCACAATGTAGGAGATAGGGCACTGATGGAGAACTCAGAGCTTTCAATGATAACATGCAGCCCACTGGAATGTGTTCCATAGGTTCACCACCACTGGTAGAGGGAAAAAATAGAACCATGAATGAGAGGTAGTCCCCACCCTGTAGGAGGCTCGAGGTGTAAATAACAAGTGTGCATTATAGGATTCAAGAGTGTAGAGGAAACTGTGACCACAGAATGAGGAACAGCTGGGAGATTGGGGACAGGAAAGCAGGCAGGGCTGCAGTGTGAGGAGGTTATTAAGCCTGTCTGGAATGTGCCAGGTTCTTCCTTGAATCCCAGCTCTCCTACCATTACACAGAACTTGTAGGCAGCCTTCAGTGTGACCTGTATTAGGCTCCTGCATGAGGCCCACCAGATCAAACAATGGACTGCATAATCTCAGTGGCTGAGCTTTAGCTAATTGCAAGAAGTCCAATAATCAATTAGCCAAGTAAGCTGTAGCCAGTTAAGTTGCTTCTATTCCATTTTCTATAAATGCTGTTAGATTATGTTGTGGGTTTCAAATTCTGAGAGCCTATTTGGATTCCAGGGGCTGACAGATTGGTGACTTGTTTTTGTTTTGTTTTTCTTTGTTCAAGTAAACTCAAAGATTTTTTCATTAAAACAATTTTATTGATACATTTTAGGTATACAATATGATGACATTCATCATTGGTGATCTGTATCTTTACATAATATATCTTTTTTTTCTTTTTATTGAGTGTGTTGGTACAATCTAGGTATACAATTACATTCATCATTGGGATTCTGTACCTTTACATAATAGGTCTTGATTCTCATTTTTCCCCTTGTCCCTGCCCTCCCTTCATCCCCTCCTCCCCTCCCCATTTACAAACACTTTATTTCCATTTTTCAGTTTCTCATATATTTTTCCTCTCCCTTATTACCTTTCCCCCACCCTTCCCACTTTCCCTACACCTTTAGCCCTTTCCTTCCTATTTCACATTATTAATTATCTCATTAGGATCCTGTGTACTATTGTAATTTTTCACACCAGAGAAACTATTCGGTATTTCAGTTAAAGAAATCTCTATATGAACATTAAAAATAGGGAATCCTAAAAAGGAAAGTAAAAGAGAAAAGGCAATGGTGTAACATTAAAATAATCCTTAATTCTGGAGATGAAAATGGTCCCCGAATATGTTTAAATTGCTTCTCGCTCTTATAGTCTTAACTTATAATTTTTTTCATTATTTAGAGAATACTTTATTAGTTTCTGTAATCAAACCCACATAGATATGACCTTACATATTTAGTACGATGTGTTACCCCTGTATACATGGAAAAAATAAAAAATAAAAAATAAAAATAAAAATAAAAATAAATTAACATTTCT